CTTATGGACTTTTAATACAGAATTTACACTCGCAATGTCGGGTTTCGAAGTCGCAGTTCGAAATTTACACCTTTATTGGAAGATTGACAACTTGCAGTTCAAAATTCGGACTTGTAAGTTCAAATTTAATATTCCGACTTTGAATTGAACCGATATGCTTCTCCAAACTTCAGATTATGGACTTTTGATTCAGAATTTAAAATCGCAATGTCGAGTTTCGAAGTCGCAATTCAAAATTCACACCTCTAATAACATATTTCCAAATTGTAGCTCAAAATTCGGACTTGTAAGTCGAAATTTTACATCCCAGCTGTGAATCTGACTGATTTGCTTCGCTAAATTATACCTTACGGACATTTAATCCAGAATTTAAACCCGAAACGCCGAATTTCGAAATCGCAATTCTGAATTCACACATTTAATAAGAGGTTTCCAACTTGGATCTCAAAATTCGGACTTGCAAGTTCAAATTTAACATCCGATCTTCGAACCGGACTGATTTGCTTCCCCGAACTTCAGCTTATGGACTTTTAATACAGAATTTACACTCGCAATGTGGGGTTTCGAAGTCGCAATTCGAAATTCACACCCTTAATGGGAGATTTACAACTTGCAGCTCAAAATTCTGATTTGCAAGTTGAAATTTAACATCCCGATTTTAAATCGGACTGATTTGCTTCCCTAAACTTCAGTTTACGGACTTTTAATCCAGAATTTAAACTCGCAATGTTGGGTTTCGAAGTCGAAATTCTGAATTCAGACTTTTAACTTCCAACTTGAAGCTCAAAACATAGCCGTTCCACGCTTCGCCGATTTCCATCATACGACTTCGGATTTTAAAATTCTAATGCAGATTTTCGAATATTTCAGAGTTAGAACTCAGAACTGAGTTGGAGTTCGCACACCTAACTCGGTATTTATGAAGTTCCGGAGATCTAACACACAATTAAGACCAGTCGCGTGGATTTGCAGCATTTGGACCTCTTATTAACCGATTTGCTTCGCACAGCTTCCAATTTAAGCGTTCCAATTTAGAATGTAAACTCCCTTAAACTCCGAGGTTAGGCTAACGATACCAAATTCGTGAGTAGACAGTAGAGCCGAATAGGAACTAAAACTTCAGATTTTCCTGGATAATTCTTTGCTGTAATTTTCTCTTGAGAGAGGCGTATTCAGAAGTCTGTTTATAAAAGAGTAAAACGCAGCTATTTTGTGTGTATAAGGGTGATTTGAGCTGTCATGTATGATTGTGTGTGTTTTCGTAATCTTTAAGTCTAAAAAATTAATAGAGTTATCCTGTTCAATCTCGATAGTGAATTTTATACGATCATGTAATGAGTTAATGTAATTTAAAAAAGAATTCAATTGTTTGTCCGTTCCAACAAAGCAAGCAAAGGCATCGTCCACGTATCTATACCACCATAGAAAACTTTTACTTAAATTATCCATAAAAATCTCGGCTAACAAAGGACTAAGTGGGTTTCCCATAGTCAAACCGTCCTTAGAGATGTAAATCTGACCATTAAGTTCAAAATAATTTTGGTCTAAAGATACTATTAAGCAATCTAAGAAATCTTGTTTCACCTATGGGTTAACCTGTTTCCGAGTTAGCGTGAAATCAACTAAATCTATCACATCCATAGGTGGAATACTGGGAAATTACTTTTGTATATCAAAAGACAGTAGTGTTTCGTTAGAAGGGATTTTGATATCTTTAATTTTGTTGATTAATTCAAAAGAATTTTTTGTTGCAAATTTTGGTTTAAAATCTTTGTGGAACTTTAAAATATTTACAAATTTTGTTGAGAGTTTAACTGCTGGAGCCGCTATATAAGACACGACTGGTCTAATGAGCATATCTTCCTTCATTCATTTCGTCGGGCCTTGGATCTGTGCTTGCCTTGAAGCGGTATATATATAGTAGCAGGTAGTTTGTAAATATTACATTTGATAAAGACACGAAACAATTGTCATGTGAAAATATATAATTTCGTGAAAATCTGAACTTTTAGTTCTTATTTATTTAGTAAAGTCGAACCCTCCGGCGGGTTCAAAGCCGCGGGCAGATGTCGAAACGTTTCGTATACCGATCGGTTCGCACCGATCGCGTTTTATATACCAGCTGTCCCGTCGCTATTGTGCAGCGATGAGAAAATCGCGCCAAATGTCCAAACGCCAGGCTGTCGCGAGCACACATCGGCATAAATAAATTAAAAAGGAACAATTAGAGGGGGGGGGGGGAGCACACAACAACGGAAGCGGGGCGCCCCCTAGCCGGGCAAGAAGACATGTGCGCGGTCTTATGGGAAATCACCTGTCTCCCTATAGCATTCTCGGGAACGGTGGGATAGAGGGGTTGCGTAATAGGCAACGCTTCGACCCCCTCCCCGTTCCCTTCCGATGGATTTTTTTTCAGAAATTATTTTCTTGTATCGATGCACAGAGCGATTGCGCCCGTAATGATACAGCAGGTCGCGCTCGAGGATCAACAATAAAGAAAATTATCTTTTAACTAAAATTAAAAGTGAGTTATCGAAATTCGATAAGCGAAGATAGTGTACTTAAAGCCTCTAAAAACAACCATGTCGGTTGCAAGATTATTTTATTTTGTACTGGGTTATTCATCATATTTTGGCACCCACCTACAGGGTTAACTTTGAAGGATAGAAAATAAGTGTAGAGACAAAAGTTCGAAGATTTCTCTGTTATTTTGTGCGAATTTCAGAGAAATAGCCTCTATATTATACTTTATTGACATTTCATTAAGCCGTTTTTGAGATATTTCAGTTTAAAAATAACAATCATTCGACTTCTGGACAATGTTGTTTAAAAATGGTCAGTCTGCCTTTAATAAAATTAATTAAATTAATTAAAATTATTAATACTAAGTCTTTCTCTTATCACTTGTAAACTTTCAGGCCTATCATAATAAAATTTTCTTTTTTAAGTATCCCCATAAAAAAATGTCACAAGTATTCAGGTCATCAGGCTGTTGGCAGGTCATTTGATAGTTCCTTGCCTACTAGGGTGCTTCAAAAAAAATATTTTCTTTTTTAGTTCTTATCCTCTCAAATGATATAAGACAAAATCGTCACCAAAGATGAACCCTGTAGCTCAACTCTAAGGGGTCGCTATTTTTATTTTAGTTTCAGATTTAATTAACATGGGAAAAATTCTTGTTTCATTAAAATTAAATTTCCGTATAACGTTCGCGATTTTTTACAAAAAACGCATTTATATTATTAAAGATGAGCCTTTAAGCTTTCCAAAACCGTATAACAAAGTATGACTATCATTAAAAGAAGATTAATTACAGCCATTTAAAAATTACAATATGTTTCAAATTTGGACATGGTTGTCAGTACGTAGTGTAGGTGGCAGCACTGATTATATTAGATAATACGGTACAGTTGTCAAATTATCAGTAAAATGGCTGAAAAGAAAATTTATTTGGTTGGTTTTCCTTGGTAACCTCACAATTCATTAGAGTCTCTGTCGAAACTTCTTTATTTAAATATTTAGACTGAGCTTCTGTTAGAGAATGTGCTGAGTTATGATTTGATTTATGAAACAAATACTCAAGGCGATTTTTAAATGTATGCTCCGTATGCTGAGTTTTATACCAGGAGGTTCCCAAACTTTCAAACATCACGAATCACATCATTAAAACACTGTCGAATTGTGAGGTTAGAATCTGTGCGCTTGTAGAAAAATAATTCATAGAATAAAACTGACTATTAATTAGGACAAAAAATTATTAGAAGCTATTTCTGAATTAATCTTCTTTTAATGATAATCGTACTTTGTTATACGGTCTTGGAAAGCGTAAAGAATCAACTTTAATAATATAAATTGGTTTTTTATAAGAAACGGGCAACATTATACGTAAATTAAATTTTAGTGAAAAAAGAATTTTTCCCAAATTAATTAAATCTGAAACTAAAATAGAAACAGCGACCCCTTAGAGTTGAGTTACAGGGCTCATCTTTGGTGAGGATTTTTTTTTATATCGAAAAGAAACATTTGAGAGGGTGGGAGCTAAAAAACAAAATTAAAATTTTTTTTTGAAGCACTCTATCTCCTACCTATCCGTTCCTACCTATCGCCATTTATAAAATATTCAGAATTTTCTAAAAAATATAAAATATAAAAATTAAGAAAGTTTCTATTGTCCTGGTCTTCCTTGTGAAGCTATTTCAGTCCTCAGATTGTTTAATTACATTTTTAACTGTATTTATTGAAGGAACTCTTCTACCAGGATATGTTTGTCGATATTCTCTGATAACCCTTGCAACATTATGTCCGTTTGAATAATATAATCTTATTATTTGGGGTTTTTCTTCCTGAAATATCTTAAGTTATTTAACTTTTGTTTCAAATGAGTCGTGCGCAAGCAATCTGGCAACGTTGCCTCGATATTGATAATGTTGGCACCTAGTTGCCGTTACAAAACTTGTCGAAATCCTGCTTGTTAGATAGTAGATATCTTGTTGAAGGGGTTTAGCTCCATTGTGTTTTAAATTTAGGATCTCCTCTTTTAATTGCTTGTTGCTTCAGGATAACATTTGACAATCAGGTACTATTAGGCAGAGCACTTTGGGAAATCATCTCTGGAGGTTAGGAGGGGCATTAATTTTTTAAAATTTCTTTTACTTGGTACGGCGAACTCTGAGTGGCCGAAGTAAAATGTTACAAATGTTTTATCTCAGACGTCAATTTATTTTAATTTAATTTATATTAATGCGGATACACTTCGTGAAAGTGTCGACTCTTTTTGTAACTGCTGATAGTAATAGTAATTATTTTTCTCATCGTATTTATATATTGTCGTCTGTTCTCTGTTCTCCGCCGCGGACCTTCGGGAAATGCTCGAAACAATGTAGAAAAATGTTGAAAGTATCAAAAAGAAAGATTCACGGAAGCGGATGCGCGATAAGCAGTTTCCCACGATAGGAAGGCCCTCGCCTTTCTTATCGCGCCGCCACGACGGAAAATCACCTGAGCGCATCCGAGTGTCTTTCCTCGACCCGTAACAGGTGGTTTGACGGTTGGAAAGCGGCGAGCGAAGCGAAAATGAAACGCTTACTTGTACTATTTATTTGTTATTTACATCGAACGTCTAAAGCTAATATCAGGTACTGTAAAGGGAATTCGGAACGTCGTAATAAACGCTAATCTCGTTGAAGGTGACAGTTAAGCGCCGATAACAAATCGAAACTAAATTGAAATCGCGCGTATCCGACCTTCCGAGCACGAAACGTTCCTTGGGCGGCAAAAGAAATGCCACCTTTCATTCCTAGTGTCCATCGCGAGGTGTTTCAGGCAATCCCCTCAAAATAACCGCCAGTGAACATACGTATAATTCGTTATTGCTATACGAAAGTGGCCAAAGAGGCACACAACACACTCTTCGCAGTCTTAAAGCATCACGAGAATGTCCATTCCAAACACCTTCTTGTCACAGGCGCGCGTCACGTGACCTCGTTCTCTCGCCAAAAAAAAAACTCCAGCCCGCAGGAAACCGGCGTCGACGCACTTTGCATACCCGATACCCAGAAAAGGATGCACGTCGAGATCGTCCGCGCATACCAAACGCCGTTTTGCATAGCCGCGACCGCACCTCGATACCTGGACGTCGTCTTCGAATAATACTGTACACGTCGGCGAAGCCTTCACGTCCACACCATGTCGTCTATGGCGAGCAACCTCCCGACCGCGCGATCCCTGATCTTCCTCAAGGGCGGGTCGAACGTCTTCGCCACGGGCGTGTCGGTGAGGTCCAGGACCCGGGGCACCGCCCCGAACATGGCGCCGTTCAATTTGTAGACGCCGGTGTCGGCGAGCGACAAGTACTGAAGACGGCCGAGCGGTCGGAAACTGTTGGCCGAGACGTAGTACAGAACGTTGTGGTCCATCATCAGGTGTCGTAGACCCGGCAGCCTCGCGAAACTGATGTCGAACACGTGGCTGATACGGTTCCCGCTGAGGACGAGCGTCTCCAAGCTGGCCGACCTGAGGAACGGCTTTTCCGGGTCGAAACTGAGGACGTTGTCGCTCAGGTCGAGTTTGGTGAGCCTGACGTTGTACCTGAACGCCCTGGAGTCCACCCTGGACACGTTGTTGCCGGACAAGTCGATCGATCTGAGCCGATTTAAGCCCTTGAAGGCGACGGCGTCGACTGCGGCCACGAGGTTGTGCCCCATCTCGAGCTTCTCGAGGTTTCTGTAGCCGCGAAAATAGAACGAGGGCAGATGCCGCACCTGGTTGTAAGCCAGGTTCAGGTCGATGACGGTGAGGTTCCCCGGCGGCACTGCGACGATGCTTTTGCCCATCATCTCTGCCACGCTTAACGAGAAAACGCGAGGGTGAACGGTAGGGTCAGGGCGCAAAATGAGACGGCACCTAGGTGCGACGCTTACCTTTCGACGTAGAAGATCACCGCGAAGAGAACGACGTAGAAGAGAGCCAGGTCCATCGTTTGACGATCATTTAAACTGCGTATAATGCGGCGTTCGTGTTTAATGTTTATACGGGTGTTTATCGTTTATATAACTTTGTTGCACAACGCGAGGTCTATAAATAGAGTCGGATGTTGTTCTTGCACGGCCGGTTGCACAATCTACACCAATCGAGACGAGAGCAGAACGGTCCGTCAGGTTTGGACGAGGCGCCTATTCGAAAGAAACAAAATCCGAACGGGTAAAGACTTGGCCCCCGGACGGGTTATCGTCGCGGTCGCGACGCTGTTATCAAGGCGGGCGACAATTTTGTTATAGTTAATCGGAAGGTTATGTACGTCTACCGGGGTGAAGCGATAGAAACCCGCTACAAGTTGCAATACCAAATGGAAATTCTGTCTTCTGAGCGCGGATAAAACTCTCAATTGCGAAATCCAGAGTCGCTAATTCTGTTCTAAGGCTACGAGATCAAAATTCTTGCAGTTATACTCTTTGCTTACGAGCTAGGTCTGGAAATTCCCGTTTTAGAGCAAGAATTGCCAAGTTCTCAATGAGCGGCGACATTTAACGACCTCTCGCGCCATTTTTTCAGACCGCAGAGTGAACGGTTTATTTAACGGGTCGCAGAAAATTTTGAGTTTTAGATGTCGTTTCTGAGATACCCGTCGGGAATTCCGCCCTAAGAGTGAGATCTAACTCGTAATTGCGAAATCCAGAGTAGGCTAATTAACCACGTCAGTTGAAGACGGATTTCGGACCCGCGTGCGCGACATTTTGAGTTACGGATCTGATTTATGAAATACCTGCTGGAAACTAAACTTCAAGATCTATACGAAATTGCGAAATCCAGAGTCGCTTATTCGATTTTAAAGCTACAACCTCAACATTTTCGCAGCTACAGAAGCGAAGTCTTGGATTATCAAGAAATTTATGAGTTGCGAGTGGGAATTGCGATTACAGAGTTAGAATTGTAAAGTCTCGGTGAGAGGGGGTTGCAGATCGATTCGCGAATTGCGGTCGCAACGTTCTGAGTTGCGAAATCCATATGCGAAGTGTTTAGTCGCGGGTCGAAAATTCGCATTTTCGGAGCCGCGAAAGAGCCGGCAACGTCGCGTCGCGATCGTTCCGCAAACTGAACCCGAAAAACGTTATCTCGCGACCAAAGAGACGACAGTTGTCGGCCAATCTGGCCTCCGGCACATACCGCGGTCCAGATGGCCCGGGAGCGCGCCCTTATGGCCGCACATACGCCATATCGCATAATTAACGATAAAGTAACTCTATTTCTGATCCGCGCGCGTATCGACCCGGCCGGCGTCGGCCGGCGTCGCATCTGTCAAACGCGTGGCGTTTTAATAAAGTCCCCGGACCGCCTTGTTTACAAGCCGGATAAGGTCGAAACGTCGTAGGATCACGTGCCGACCGCGTCCATTAAAACGGGGGCGGATTAAAACCCACCCCAGGTCGGTCGCGTGTCTTCCTAATGTAACCGCTTTAATTGCCCCGGTTTTCTAGTCGTATTCTCTTTTTTTTTTTTTAATTTTTGAAGCTTCGAAACCGATAGGTTTGTCCTATGTAGATAGCCACGACGATTGGTTCACTTGTTGCGTTGGAACTTGACCAAATGGCGCATCGAATCGTTCGACATTTTCATTGGCGTGCGTCTTCGCTCTATGGGACCCCCCAAAAAAGCCCCGTACCGTCTAGCACATACGAGGGCAGCGCCAAAATTTCCCGACTTGAACATGAAAGAAACAAAGTAGAGTAACAATTTTTTATTATTTTTCCTTAACATCAATACAACTTCGTCGTTAAACCGCCGTCCACGTAAGTCATTTTTCAAATATCCAAACAAATAATAGTCGCTGGGGGCCATATCTGGACTATAGGGAGGATGATCTATCTGGTGCAGCACCCACTCTAAAATGGCAGTTTGTGCAACAGCAGTAGTATGGACAGGTGCATTACCGTGCAAAAGACGCACGCGTCTGGTCAGTTTTCGTCGACGTTTTACACGTATGCCGTCTCGCAATTTATGTAATAATGTTGCGTAATATTTACCATTGACAGTGGTATTAGTTTCTTTAAAATTTATCAAAAGAATTACTTCACAATCCCAAAAAAACTAACCTCGTAACTCATGGGCAGTTTGGATAGGCCTTAGGATTAGGGAACCACATACCACTTCACATTGGGACCATTAGAAAGGACTCGTCGATTAAGTACCTCGATCAGTAGTCAGTACTTAAAATAAACGACTTTAATAATAATAATAATATTAATAATAATAATAATAATAACAATATCTTTATTATCCCACATATTTAGAATACAATCAGTGTATTATGGATTTCGTCAAGTAAATAAAAATAAATAAAATATATGACAGAGCACAACAATACAGTGTTGACAAACATTAATAGGTAAAATATTCGCTTAATGATAAAAACAGGACTATTGTAGACTCTAATACCGGAGTTCGTAATTTTTTTTTTTGAAAATTCTAATCTTTTTTTTTTGTGGAGAAACAGTCTTTCAACCACTATAATACACGTATTATCTCCGTTTTTTTTGTAAGGTATTTTTATTTTTATATGCCCATAAACAAACTTCCCATACACGCTAAAGGCAGTATTTTAAACGGCCGGAAGAGTTGCCTGCTATCCGGCGACACTCCAGCAACACACCTTAGGACTTCTTTTTGGGATTTGAAAACAGATGTCGCATGACTTGAACGTAAATACCATAGCATAGTGGAAATTTATCAGGCACTTTAAATTTAAAACAGCTTTTTAATTTTTTATGAGGAAACAATAACTAATTGGCATTGAATTTCCCAAGATAGGGTTTCGCCGAGCTCTAGTCCTAAATCTACCGGCCATCCGACTAGAAAATTTTAAAGAGACATTAAAATCGATATTTCTCTCTTAATTGTATTATTTTGAATTTGTCAATGTTTGCGAATTAGCATGAAATAACCTTCATATTAAAAATAGCAATCGATACGATTATCGAAAGATATACCAAAGTTTATTTAACTTTACCATTCCTTTGATAGTACTCACTAAAAGGTATAACTAAGGAATTAAGAAACACTTCACATTCCTATCTAGTATCAAACGGTTTTCCTGTCTGGGAACTTTTAATTCTAGTACTCGGCTGGTTCCTTCGTCTTAACTGTCATCTAGAGGCTACGGCAATTAGAGCTCGAGGCGTTTATCCAGCCCGATCTTCATGACTCCATTCCAACGGAAGGCGTCACCAAGCCCAGATTGAGTAGCAATCAAATTCACAGAGGGTTTTGGTTAGTCTGCTTCGCGCCCGTCGTCTTTTGTGGGGCGTACAAGGCAGCCTCAATCTCTCTCTATTGCAGCATTGTGTACATTACTTTTTGCTGTAGTAGCGAATAAAGAGCCCAATCTTTTCAAATCATCCAAATAAGGTTTACCATCTCTTCGACGAATTTGTATTTCCAATTATATCGAGCACTCTGTACGATGGGCGAAAACTGTAAATAGAGAATTGTTTCGATACAGAAAATTGGACATTTTCAGAATATTTTATATTTTTTTTTATCCAAAAACAACACACCCTGTATATAATTCAAAAAAATATCTAAGCAGAGGTTATAACGCTGGACATCCCACGTTTCCCATAGAGCAAATTGTGGTTCTTAATGCGGCCCATAGTAGTGTTAATTAGTCATATTTATAAAATAACTGTAATTATACCTGTGGAAATAAGTAAAAAAAAAATTATAGACATTATAGTAACTTTTAGGTTACAACCCTGGAGCAGAATAATAAGCAAAAGATAATACATACATAATCTTACATTACATTACATTACATACAATTACATAATCTGGCGGCAGTAGACAACTATTAAATAATTATATAAACATAAGGAAAATAAGAAATTTAACAACATTTTTTTCTTAACAGTTAAACGGCCCTATTTGCATTGTTCTGAATATAATTCCTGGGATACTCTTAAATGTTTGTTTTGAAGCTGATTCTTTAACTTCAAGGTGCAATTTCTTAAGTACTTTTGAAATCTGGTAGGAGAAAGACCGTTTATATAATTCCGTTTTGTGTAGTAGTAGTAATATTTAAATTGTATCTTATATTTTGCATATTTAACCAACCATTCAATTTTATCGTATAAATTAAGCGCAAACACGAATTTTGAATATTTTTCAGAGCTTGACTGCTCTGAAGAAGCCAAGCCAACAGGATAATTGGCGAAACGTCAGCAATTTCGACTAAGCAAAAACCGACGCAGGAGGAATCCAGAAGTTTTGTAAAAAAAAAAACGTTTTTCTTTTGGCTTTTTACTGGAAAATTAAAATAAGTTTTCTTTTCTGTACTAATGAATATGAATAAAACTATCAGGGAGGCAAAGGATTTTTGAAATATTCTTTTAGGTGTTCTTTCAATCTATTTGCTCTTTAAGATTCTTGACACAATCTTTAAAATTTAATTTTAATCTGTCCTCAAACAACATAACGCGTGAATAAGTTTCAAATTTTTATAATTCTCAGTGCTCAGGAAAAGCGGCGGTCCTAAAATTGTCCTCCTTGTGACCTTCTTTGGATTTGAGAAGAATATTATCAAGAGTTTTGTTTACCATGGGTTTTTCAAAATGTCTAGGGGCCCGGATCAAATCTTACAACCGCGCCCATGGTTTCGGGGCCGTGCACGTGCACGGCAGAATGTCGCGCGGCGCCGGAGAGTCTGGGTAACACCTGCAGGTCGGTTTCGACGAGTCGGCGATTTGTACTTGGCGCGACGCCGACGGTCACACCGCCGGTCAGGGACGGCGCGCTATGGAAATGTCGGACACAGCTTTACAAATTAAACATTTTTGGCGGGGGATTTTAATGAATTAAAGCCCAGACTGTCGTATTTTATCGGTAAAAACCCAATTTCTTAAAAGGTGTCAGAGATATTTAAATTTTTTTCCTTGCAAAATGTGCTACTGCAAACGTTCGCTCTTACTTTCAAATAAAAAAATGTATACATTTATATCTATACAATTGAATGTGGGAAATATAGAATTTTTAGTAGCAAAAAATATTTATGTAAATAAAACAATGGAGAAAGCTGGCCGAGACTTTATACAGGCTGTTTTCTGATTTTCGGGCCCGTTTTAACAAGGAAACTGCGTATGAACGTATTGTCCTAAACGTCTTAACTTT